TGAGGAGGTGGGTATGCACAAGGTGTTGAGGGGAATGAGGTAGGCACAAGAAGCCCTTTGCAGTAATCTATTATCTGTAACTTGATTGCGGTGGTAGTTACAGGAATCTATCTATATATGTGATAAAACAACAGAACTATATGTACCAATAACACATTCCTGGTTTGGATTTTGGTCAATAATTTATATGTTATAACTACTAAAGAAACTGAGTGAAGGATACATGGGATCACTCTATACTATCTTTATAAATTCCTATATCTGCAATGTTTCAAAATAAAAATTGGAAGAAAAACACAATAAAATAGAAATTTAGTTCAGAAACTACTTTGATATCCCAGTTTTGTTCTAATTTAAAACACATAGAAAATGCAAAGAAAACATTGTGTGTTTTTTTGGTATCCATTTTTGGTTCCTCAGTTTTTAAGAACAAGTTGAATTAAGTCAAAATAGCTAAAAGGTACCCAAACCTGAAACTTTCAAAAGGATAAAAACTGTATTTCTGCCTAGTGGCACAAATCTTGAGAATATCAATTTAAAAAAGCCCACACAGCCCTGGCCTGTGTGGCTCGATTGGTCGGAGCATCACCCCATGTACCAAAAGGTCGTGGGTTCAATGCCCAGTCAGGGCACACGCCAAAATTGCTGGTTTGATCCCTGTCAGGGCGTGTAGGGGAGGAGCCTACAGATGCTTCTCTCTCATATTGATGCTTCTCTCTCTCTCCCTTCCTCTCTAAAAAAATAAGTAAATAAATACTCATATGTAGCTCTTCACTTGTATAAAGTTGCTAAAAGTTAAAGCCTTTCATGTATATCCTAATAACAAATCTATAAAGCTGAAATTTTTATTTCTTAAATTTGGTTTGAGTAAGGGTCCTAAATGGCTCATCAATTACTAGTGACTTCTACTGAGGCTCTCTGAGGGTTTGGCTTGTCCATCTGCCAAACCCTCAGAGAGCCTCAATAGAAGTCACCAATTACACTGTGCTATCGTAATGCTTAATTGATATCATGAATATTAAATACTGTCAAGTGGTATGCAAATATTAATGGTTAAAAATCAATAATGACATGTACTAAGCCAGTAACATTATTTTAATTCTTGGCAAAATATCTGTAAGGCATTTTTTTCCCCCTCCAAACATTCTGCAAGTTCAATATCATACTTCATTAATTTTGACACTTTTTTTCTACATTTAACATATTTAAAATTGATGGGTATCTTAAAATCACTTTTGGTCAAGGAACAGTCATGCCATATTTGTAACTATGTGTACACGCCTCAGAGTGTGAAGAATGGATATCAGCATCTTAAAGAAAACCCTGAAGATAGATAATGATGGATACTAATTTAAGAAATGATACATCATTAATGTTCATAACAGAGAACAGTATGTGGTAAAATATGAACATCAAGATCTGAGTTGAAAGTGAATTAGAAGAGTTAAAAAGATTCTGAATGTGAAGAAGTTTTCATTTTGCTTATATATATTTTTATATATGTACTAGGGGGATATATAATTTTTTTTAGAAATAGATTTTCCAGCCCTGGCACGTTTGGCTCAGTGGATAGAGCATTAGCCTGTGGACTGAAGGGTCCCAGGTTTGATTCCGGTCAAGGGCATATACCTTGGTTGCAGGTACATCCCCAGTAGGACGTATGCAGGAGGCAGCTGATTGATATTTCTCTCTCAATGTTTCTAACTATCCTTCTCCCTTCCTCTCTGTAAAAAATCAATAAAAAATATATTAAAAAAAGAAAAAGACTTTCCAGCCCTAACCGGTCTAGCTCAGTGGATAGAGCATCGGCCTGCAGACTCAAGGGTCCCAGGCTCAATTCTGGTCAAGGGCATGTACCTTGGGGAGTGTGCAGGAGGCAGCTGAACAATGTTTCTCTCTCATAGATGTTTCTAGCTCTCTATCCTTCTCCCTTCCTTCCTGTAAAAAAATCAATAAAATACATTTTTAAAAAAGAAAAGGACTTTCCATAAGTATGAAAAATTCCAAGTGATAAAAAAGTTGCCATAGTTAAAATGGCATTTTTCCTTCTTAGTAGCAAATAAAACAGTGGTATATGTTATAGAATTGCATCTCAGCTTCATCTCATCTTCCTGCTCAAAATATTGAATCGATTTTCAAAACTACTATGTTCTTGTTCTCTTTTGGTATTTCCCATTAACATTTTATTTAAATAATTGAATCAATAAAAGTTCAAGGATCAAGCCTAAGGACCAAGCCTTTGATATAATGACCAAAAAAAAGTCACTCAACAAGGCTTTGATTTCATTGGTTCCTCCCAGTGATATTAGTTGGTCACTATGTTTTAATGAAGAGCATGATTTCTGGCCTATTTTATTCCATATTTATTATAGAATGCTAACTACATTGCCAGCTATTGAATTAGGCATGGAGATAGCATGGAGAATAAAGTCAGACTTGATCCCTGGTTTCTTGGTATTTAGTATCTAGTGAGAAAGACTGACAAATTATAAATTATAAATACTGTGAAGAAACACCTGAGAAAAGGAAATAAAAATGAACATGGTGAGGGGGAAGTATTCAATTTCAGATGAAAATGGTAACGGTGGCAGAAACCGGTTTGGTTCAGTGGATAGAGCGTCGGCCTGCAGACTCAAGGGTCCTGGGTTCGATTCCAGTCAAGGGCACGTACCTTGGTTGTGGGCACATCCCCAGTGGAGGGTGGGGGTGCAGGAGGCAGCTGATCGATGTTTCTCTCTCATTGATGTTTCTGACTCTCTTTCCCTCTCCCTTCCTCTCTGTAAAAAATCAATAAAATACATTTTAAAAAAATGGTAACGGTGAACACGTACATAGTGTTACTGTGTGTCAGGCTCTGTACTCCATACTTTATATACTCTTTAATCTTCTAAACCACTGTTGTCCCCATTTTATACACAGGGAAAGGAAGCTTTGCAAATTTAACTTAATTGCCCAAGATGATGTAGCAAATAAAGAGGGTGCTGGCATGTAAACTCACAGTCTGACCCCAGGTCCTTGTTTTAATCCACCACCACCACATTAGGGAGAGAGAGCCTTTCTGAGAAAGGTGTCACTTAAGCTGACACCTGAATGAGGAGAAGGGGCTGCTGAACAAAACTGTATAAAGCCCTAAAGTGGGAAAGGTCCCAAGAAGACAAGGCACTTGAAAGCATCAAATCCTGTCTTACAGCAAGGTGTAGGGGACAGGATTATAAAGGGGAAGGGGCTAAGGTGAGGCTTGGGGGGTCTTGATTTCCCATTTGCTTTTGTACTCACCCCATTAATACAAAGTTGGCATGGTCTTTAAACAAACCTACAATAGTTCCTTATAATTCTTAGGTTGGTTCTTTTTTTTTTCTTCTTCTTTTTAAATATATTTTTATGCTTTCAGAGAGGAAGGGAGAGATAGAAACACCAATAACAATGAGAGACAGTCATTGATCAGCTGCCTCCTGCTTACCCCCTACTGGGATCAAACCCCCATCTCAGGCACGTGCCCTGACCAGGAATCTAACCATGACCTCTTGGTTCATAGGTTGACACTCAACCACTGAGCCAGTGGGTTCCCAGATTGGAGAGGGTGCAGGCTGGGCTGAGGGACAACCTGCCCCCCCCCCCTTGCATGAGTTTCATACACCGAGCCTCTAGTCCTATATAATAAAAGGGTAATATGCAAATAGACCGACTGGCGCAATGACCAGTTGCTGTGACATGCACTGACCACCAGGGGGCAGATGCTCAACGAAGGAGCTGCCCTCTGGTGGTCAATGCACTCCAACAGGGGGAGCACTGCTCAGCCAGAACCTGGGCTCACCGCTGGGCTGGCAAGAGTAGCTGCAGTGGCAGCACTACTGAGTGGCCATGACAGCAGGTGTATCAACAATTTCTTCCATTCTATTGGACATTTTCCATCAGTGTACACATGTTAGTACCTCCCGTCTTTAAATAAACATCAAAACAAAACTATTAATATAACCTTGGACCTTTTATTCCCCTCTGGCTAATATCCCATTTGCTACACTATTTGGAGAAAAAAACAACAAATAAAAAACTTCTTTAAAGAACAGTCTATAGTGCTGTAGCTGGTTTGGCACAATGGATAGAGCATCGGCCTACAGATTGAAGGGTCCTGGGTTCGATTCCAGTCAAGGGTACAAGTTCCGGGGTTGTGGGCTCTGTCCCTAGTAGGGGGCGTGGAGGAGGCAGCCTATCAATGATTCTCTCTCATCGTTGATGTTTCTATCTCTCTCCCTTCCTCTCTGAAATCAATAAACATATATTTTAAAACAAACAACAGTCTGGAGGACTTCACCTCCAGTTAGCAGAAACCACTATAATCAAGGCTCTCTCTGTCACCCCGCTAAAACAAGTATTAGTAAGCAGAATGCCTTATACTTTACATTATCTACATTTTCTCTTATTGTAGCTTTTACAGTATCCGCTAACCTCATACATCAAGCGAGCATTTCATTTTACAGCTCTTTGCAGACTTGTGCATGTGTGTGTTCAAAACCCCGTTTATCTGCAAAGTATTGAATTAGGGGCTCATGATATCACGAAAAACTAATAGAAAAAAGCACAGATGAAAACGGAACACAATCCCCGTTAAAGAGGACTGAGCCAATGATTAATGCTGGCCTTCTATTGACATTCCTTGGCAGCCAAAGGAAGAAGAGAACCCGAATCCCACAGTGTGTGCAGCATTTAACCAACCACAGAGCCAGGCATTTACATTCGTCTGCAGAGACCCACACTCTTCCCTGCACCACAGCCCGGAAGGGGCTCGGACCACCGGGGCTGTCACAAACGTCACCGCCAGTCCACCTGGAACAAGCGTGGGAATGGAGACATCGGCAACGATAACGGAGCACAGACAGCAGGGCAGCCCTGCAGGGCTGCTGACGTTCCTTAACTTGGTTCTGCTGAAGTTATTTAACTTGGTTATTATTAAAAACTTGGTTTTTAGAGCAAGGACCCGGGAGACGGTGGACCCAACCCACAGGCGCCCCCACAGGAGAATCCCCAGCTTTCTCCCCTGGGGATTTGGTTCAGGCTTGGCGATCGCTAAGCAGCATGATTCACTTGATGGTGAGAACAAAAAGGTCAACAGGGGCCCAGCGGCTCGGGGGCAGCCTCGGGCCCACTGGCCTCCTGGGGGCAGAAAGGGTCCTACGTGAGCGGAGGGGTCCACCCCAGGGGCTGGGGGAGGAAGGCAACGAGCACCAGGCAGTCCCTTCCCAGACGCGGAGACCTCTCCCGAACATGGAGGAGCGGCAGAGGCAGCCGAGGCCAAGGGCATCCTCTTTTCGGTGGGTCACGGGGGTAGGGGGGTTTCCTGGAATAAGATGCTATCATCCCACTGGGTACCGACCCCAGAGATCACCCACCTGCAACGCCGGTATCCGAAGTCTCCACCCCTCCCTCCGCCTCCGGAGCGCTGATTGCGATTGGCTAACACCGCTGTCCCGTTAGCTCCTTTCCGCGTGTGAGTGGCGCAACTCGCCGGCTCTAGGCCTTGGTCCCACCTTCCGCCCGCGCGAAGCCCCGCCCCGTGACGTCACACGCTGCCGCAGAGCGCAGAGGCGGGTCTCCGTCCCCGCCCAGCAGCGGCGCTGGGGGCGGGGAAAGTAAGGGTCAGGTGGGAACGGGTGCGTGAACTTGTGCGTCGCCCCGCCTCTTCCGCCCGGACGCCGGAAGAGGGGGCGGAGCCCGGTTAGCGTCCGTGCTCCCCAAGCCCAAGGTGGCGGCGAGGTTCCTTTCCAGTGGATGCTCCCCGGGGCCGCACGCCCGGCGGTTCGGCTCGGTGCCCGCGATGGAGGGTGTGCGCTGGGCCTTTCCCTGCGGCCCGTGGCTCCCGAGCCGCGCCGAGTGGCTGCTGGCCGTGCGGTCCATCCAGCCCGAGGAGAAGGAGCGCATTGGCCAGTTCGTCTTCGCCCGGGACGCCAAGGCAGCCATGGTACTCCGGGTCCTGGGTGTTTAGGGCCGAGGGAGCAGCTGTTGTGGGGAGACGGGCCGGCGACCCTCGGGGCGGGTCCGGGCGAGGAGGGTGGGCGCTGCGAGGCTGAGCCTCGGCCTGGGCTCCCCGGCCTTTGTGGTCGCTTCCGAGGCCTCGCTCACGGCAAAAATTAGCCCCTCCCACGTTGTCATGGAAACGGGACCCTGCGAAACCCTGCAAAGGTGGAGGGAAGGCCTACGGAGAACTTGGATTCCTTTTCTCTTAATGCATGCTTTTATATTTCTATTTGTTACCCTTTCTATTTATTTATTTTTTTGCCTGGGCGCATGCTTCGGCGTCTGCCTATTAAATATCCCACCATCGCTGACTGGCGTGGCTCAGTGGATGGAGCATCCGCCTGCAGACTGAAGGGTCTCAGGTTGGATTCGGGTCAAGGGCATGCACCTCGGTTGTGGGCACATCCCCAATAGGAGGTGTGGTGTGCAGGAGGCAGCTGATTGATGTTTCTTTCTCATCCATGTTTCTAACTCTCCTTCTCCCTTCCTCTTTGTAAAATAATCAATAAAATGTGTTAAAAAAATAAATATCCCTCCACTGTCTGGGGGCACTCTGCGCGTGATAGGGCCCCCAAAATACTGGGGGTGTGACTGCGTTTATCTCTGCACACCCTGGAGCTGGAAGTGGCCTAGACCAGCCTCCTTCCTCAGGGAAACGGAAGCCCAAGGAGGATGCGGCCCCTGTGTACCTTCCTGACCACATAGCTTGGAAAACAGCATTTTAAATAGGATTACTTATTTTAATTATGTGTTTTTAAGCAACAGATGGAAAATTGGATTTCAAAATTATTTCTGTGTAGCGCAGTTTGAAACAGCCTGCAATTTGCCATCCCTTCAAAAACAGTAATTTCTTGAAATGGTTCCTATATTGAAACACCTTTTCACTTGAAGTATGGGCTAATTCATTAATCTTTTGAAGGCATATCGTGAATATTTTTATACTGTTTTTTTCAATTGTAAGGAATTGTGAAGTTCAAAATATTGCAGTATCTAAAACTCATTGTTAGATTGAAGGGGAAAAAAACAACAACAAAAGGTATCTTACAAAATATTGTACACTTTGTTATACCCCTGAATATTTTTGTGTGATTATAGTAATTTTTTAAGTATTAGTTGGAGGTGGGGGAGAGTAGGAGGGAATGTATGTGAAGATAGATCATGCATAGATAATTGTTGAAAGTGAGTGATGGGTATATAGCAGTGAATTTCAACCTTTTTTTATATCATCGCACGCATAAACTTATGAAATTCTGTGGCACACCGAAAATAAAATTTTTTGACAATCTGATAAAATAGGCATAGTTTTGATTTGTTCACACCTATGGTGGTTGTTGTGTTGGCTGTTGTCATTTTTTGATTTGACAATCTAAGGGCAAAGAGACCAGTGCCCCTGAGTAGTCTGATATTGCATGTTTTAAAAATTCTTGATCACACCATTTGGAAATCGCTGTGTGTAGGATCTATCAATAGAAGTGCTTGCACATATGCACAGAGATGTATGTACAACAGGGTTCATTACTCACTGGGGAATTTAAACTAATAAAAGAAATATGCAAATTAAACATTACATGTCCACCAGCGAATCAGGAGTTAGTATGCAAATTAACCTGACATAGCTAGTGGCAGTCCTGCCCCGCAGCCGCTCTGGGCAGCTAGCATGCAGGTGAGGAGCAGATGCAGAGCCTCTGGGCAGGCGGGATATCTACTATGAGGGGGATGGGGGAATGGGAGTGGGGATGCTACAGAAGTGACACTTCAGCTGGAGCAAAGATGGAAGGCGGTGGCCAGAGCAGAGGCCTTGGTCCCAGGTGCTGGAGGAAAACCAATGCCTGCATCCAGGGGAAGGAAGGTCTATTGCATGAATCTTCATGCAGTGGACTTCTAGTTTTTCATAATAGCAAAACTAAAGGCAGCCTAAAATGTCCAATAATAGAGTAAGTCAATCTACTTATACTTCCTTGATACTGTGAAACACTATGCTGTAGTTAAAAGTGTACAAAACAGATGGTTATGGACAGATATGGAATAATCCCCCAGCACAAGTTAAAAAGATTATACATGGTAGAATACTACATAGAGTAGGATCACATATGTGTAGATAGATAGCAAAATCATATGCATATGAACTTATATTTAGGTATTAAAAAAAATGGAAGGATGCCTATTTGTTAATATTGGTTATCTGTTGAGGGGAGAGAATTGCTAAGGAGAGACTTTTTCTCTTATCTTCTTAGGCATTGCTTAAATCTTAATGCAATGTATTTTTTAAAAACCTAAAAAATATTTTAGAAACCACCAAAATTTACTTTACTTTGTATGTTACAGGCAGTGAACTTACACATATCAAATGTTTATGTTTTACTTAACAGGCTGGTCGTCTGATGATAAGGAAATTAATTACAGAGAAATTGAATATCCCTTGGAATAATATTCGTTTGCAAAGAACTGCAAAAGGAAAACCAGTTCTTGCAAAAGACTCATTGAATCCTTACCCCAATTTCAACTTCAACATCTCTCATCAAGGGGACTATGCTGTACTTGCTGCTGAGCCTGAGCTACAGGTTGGAATTGATATAATGAAAACTAGTTTTCCAGGTAATGTTGCATTTTTGTAGTACAAGAGTTTGTAGCTCATTGTCTCCACTCATACCTATTGAGTAATCAGGCCAGGAAATGTATTGTACATGTTTTAATATAAAGGGTATATTTATTTGAATATTAATGGACTTATACATAAAGAATAGATTCTCTCCTGGCCTGTGTGGCTCCATGATTGGGCATCGACCTATGAACTAGGAGGTCGTGGTTCCATTCCAGATCAGGGCATATGCAGGGGTTGCAGGAGGCAACCGTTAGATGATTCTCTCTCATCACTGATGTTTATCTCTCTCCCTCTCCCTCTGAAATCAATAAAAATATATCTTAAAGAATAGATTCTCCATGTAATGTTTTGTCAAAGGCAAAGTGAAATGTAAAGATTTTTTAATTATACCTCAGCTTGTTAAGAAAGACTAAATTTGAAACTATTTTAGAAGACTTAAATGTGTAAAGAAAAGATTTTTAATAGCTCTTATTATCTTATTTAAATGATGTTAAATCGAACTGGGCTTGAGTTAATTTTCAATGGCGTTCTATTAAAAAAGAACACATGTAATACCTTAATAAAAAGCTACCTTTGTGAATTGTTAGTTTTGTTCCAATATTTACAAAATAAGACAAGATGGATACAGTATAAAAACGATGATTTAAATTTGGAAAAGAGTGTTGCCAGGGCTGACCAGCAGACCCTGAGCGAATGATGAATGGATTACTCTAACACAGTGTTTGCTGTAGAAGAGAGGGCTAAGGGACTGCTTCTCTACAGAAACCAGACAGCCTCAATTGCCTGCCTCATTAGGGTTTTATTGCAGCAGCAGTTTGAGATAAAGTTTATCTTTTAGATATGATCAATAGGATAAGTAATATTGGGAGGGCACATGTGTTTGTAGTGTCCTTTAAGAAAGGACACCCAAGGATTAAGCATAAGGATTCAAGTTAATACCTGGGGTCTGCACAGCTCAGACTTGTTTGGAAAGGGATAATTAGGGGCACCGCCTTCGGCACTTCTCTAAGTCAGAATTCCATAAACAGGGTGGGGGCCTTCCGTACCCTCCCCCCTCCTCCCCTCCCGGAATGTCCTCCTTACAAACTTTACAACCAATTCTCAGTGCTTCCCAAACTATGATACTTTCCCCCCCAAGGTTTTTACATTTTCTGCTTTACATTGTTACAATAAACTTTTCTGGATATTAATTAGCACAAAATTACTCAATGTTTTGAGATTCAATATTAATTTAATCGTTTTGAAATGGCTATCATAGGACTGTATTCTAGAACAACTGTTACATAAATTAAGTATAATAAGTATAAAGTAACTTATGGTATATATGATGGCTAGGACTGTGGTACGACCTGTTTTTTGTCTCCTTCTAATGAGGCATCTCCTATACTATTTTAATGGCTTCTTAATTTCCCATTTGCTTTTGTACTTACCCCGTTAATACAGAGTTGGCGTGGTCTTCAAACAAATCTACAGCAGTTTTCTTAAACTTCTTAGGTTTTTTTTTTTTTTAATACATTTTTATTGCTTTCAGAAAGGAAGGGAGAGAGAGAAACATCAATAACAATGAGAGACAGTTGGCTCTTAATAAAATCCAACCTCTTTAACATATAATCCTATCATCTTATTCTCATTTACCACCATTTGCATTTTTTTTCTTTTCTTTTTTTTAATATATTTTATTGCTTTTATACAGAGAGGAATTGAGAGGGACAGAGAGTTAGAAACATCGATGAAAGAGAAACACCGACCAGCTGCCTCCTGCACACCCCCCACTGGGGATGTGCCTGCAACCAAGGTACATGCCCTTGACCGGAATCGAACCCGGGACCTTTCAGTCCGCAAGCCGACGCTCTATCCACTGAGCCAAACCGGTCCTGGCACCATTTGCATTTCTAACTGCTCTCTCTGCTCACTATTTTCTGTCTTTACTCTTTTATTACCTTGGATGTAGCATACTTTGTCTTGTTCAAGGTTGGCAAAAAATGTGGTCCCTCTGTTCTTCCATCTATGCTTTCCTGAGTAC